AGCATCGCTTCTTTAATTTCCTAAACACGGCTTACCATTTATCACATTTTCTGCCCCGGCCCCGCGCTAATATCTGCAACCTGCGACAGGGAAGCTGATGCGATAGGATCTCCAGTGTCAAATTGATGACAACTTTGAGAAACGAAGTAAGGACATTTTGCCCTTTTACACTTATGAAGCATTTTGTTTCTGGCATTAAAGATACGACTTTTGCACCATATGCAGCAAGGTATGAGACGGAGAGAACCCCCCCTGCTTTGTGTTGGTCATTGTCTCACAGGAATCTGGGGAATTCCTTTCAGACGTCTTGGGGGATGTGTTAAGTAACAATAGTCTGGAATGTGTATAGGGATTGGACATGTTGGGGGGGTACCCCTCGGTCTCATTTCTTGCTGGGTATATTTTGCACAGTGCCGGAACCAAAATTTAAAAAAAATTGCTGTTCTATTAAACGTCGCCTGCATGACTAACGAGGAAGAAAACAAAGTGAACATTTTATAAACCTCTTAGGAGTAGTCTACACCTGTTCATATTCCAAAGTCTTACAACAAAACGTATTGTTGGAAAGATAAAATTTTGATATTCGGCAAGAGATGAAAAAAAGAGGGAAGACCAACGAAGCCATTCATAAACCAGTCCTCGTACCCAATACACTTTACAGACTCTTCCAAACACAAACTTTTCTTGTTAAATTGAGTTGTGACAGGTGGCGCCCACGACGACAACTAGTCTCTGCAGCATTGGTGAAGGTCATATGGAGCGTAAAATCAGTAAAAGCTGACCGTAACATGTATACAGGGACAATAGAAGACAGCTTACGAACACAGCTTGGGTGATAGGATAATGCCAAAGACCTTAATAACTACCGGTATAGCCGTAGAACTGTTGAGTACTATTCGAGTACCAAATTCTCTGTCAAATATTGAACAGGGAAGGAGGGAACAAAGCTAAAGAACACGGGCATTGGACAGTAAGTACGGAAAGATGAGATTCAAAATCAAATGACAACTTCAGACCATCACTGTTTAAAAAAATTAAGTTTATAGGACAAAAATACCCGGAAAGTACTATTCTCCATAACTACGAGAGTCGAAAGTCTTAAACTTATTTGTAATCTTAACGTCTGTGAATTTACCAACCAACAATGTCCAATGTGCTCCAGCTTCGCTCCACCAGTTCATCGTTGTTTTGGCAGTGAATATGGGACTCAAAAGGTACTCGACTACACCACTAGGCTACAGGTAAAATGGCAACCAGTTGGGCGTTAAGTAACGCATGCATGGCGAGCAAAACCCGATATCTTCTCTTATTTTCTAAAATGGAATTTATCCGATTGGTCCACGCATACCGAAAGGCAAGCATCTTCCTCTCCAGTACAATCGATAAAACACCTTCAAGCGAGCTTTTTGTCACTTCCCTCTTTAAAATCCGTAATCGCTTCTCTTTGTATCGTTTCAGTCCTCTGTACTAAATTTTATGTAGATATTCAGTACAGAAAAAACGAAACGTTGGATCATTAGCTGGGTTTTCCATCGAAACGGCCACTCCAACTCCATCATTGGGGAAAAAATACGTATGTGCATGCATGTATGTGCATGTATGTAGATATAACAGCGCAGTTTTTACATTGTCACAATGAATGGCACGCCTTTAGAACATGACATTTATGGGCAATTTATAACACTCTCAGCAGTTTTGTTAGCATGGTATCTGGTGTTTCTAGATGTAGCCGGCACGGTGTAGGTCGAGGGTAGATGACCATGTAACTGGAGACACCAGGGGCACTTCTTCCGCATCCTCTGAGCCATTACGGAAGTATTGAAGGTGCTTGATTTATAACATTGGCACTTTGTCGGGACAGCTTCGGGTTTGTAATAAATGCCTCGAATTCCCAGTAGTTCCAGACCCCGCGTTCCCTTATTTTACCCAACCGTCGTCCTTCCAAAGCCACGGCGACTTGTGGGGGCCACTGATCTCTTGGGCTAAACGTCTGGTCGACGCCAAATGTCTGGATGGGATAGGCTGGATGACTTACGAGACTATCTGATTGGGCGTTCCAGTCAGACAGTGAGCCAGGCGCAGGCAAGAGAGAGAGAGAGAGAGAGAGAGTGGCGAAGTGTTACCAGCTGGGGGCAGTGCATGGACGGGAGACAAACAGCTACAGGTGCTGGTGGCTGGAGAACTGAAATCAATAGCCCCCACCACCACCCCCTTTGAGATGTCTTGACAGGCCTAAGAGGTTAGATCATCAAAAGGTTGCACCCTTTACACTGCGAGTCAGCACTCTAGGACCTTGTATACCTGGCACGAAATGGGAGATAGGGGTACCCACCTCCCCCAACAATTTCAACCCTTTACACACTCCAGCCTATTATCACTTAACACATCCCCCTAGATGTCTAAAAAGAATTCCTGAGATTACCAGTATAACAATGACCAATACAAAGGCGGGGGGGGGTTCTCTGTCCCATAGTTTGCTTCATATGGGACCTTGACCCGTCCAAGAAGCTAAACGCCCCGAGCACTGTGGAGTGGGGATGCGCTTGGTTGGGTGCACCATAGAGAAAGGACACAGATTTCTCTATACATGGGTGCACTGAAACCCAAATTGGAATAGACACTCAGATGATCATCAGTACCCATGCACAGCAAAGAATTACACACGGTTAACTCATTATACCTAAGCATGAATAAATTAACATTTAAAAGGCATAAGATGTAGTCCTCACAGGGTTTAAGATGCCCCAAGTAGGAGCCCTAAGACTTGAAACCAGGACAGTCGAGGCGCTTAGTATTGAGAAATCACGCTGTAGTACCGCTTTTACAAAGTTAATGACTCGAGCAAAGAAATCTAGTAACCTGATACAAACTCGATTTCACGGACAGCCATGATGATGTCACTGATAACTCAGTTGCTCACTTGGGGGAGAATAAAAGCTCTGAATAAATAAACAAACAGCTCTGCTGTGCAATATTAAACCTCTCCGTGGCATCCAATCAAGTTGGCCACTTTGATCTGCAGAATGAATCCTGGATGCCCTATGTTAATTTCAGAATACGTGGAGCATGCAAAAGGACAAGACCTCTTGCGAGGTCTTAGCGTCAAGCTGGCTACCGTGAACCGTGTAATGAGGCTAGCATGCCATAAACTTTCCTGTGATCAGAGAATGCATGCAGTCATCTCAACGCCACGGATGCAAAGGGCTACGAGTCAGCTTAATGGGGTCATTTAAAAAACATTTAACATCTGACAAACATGGCCGTAAATCCTGGGGATGGGGGTATATATCCCCCACACGTTTGGGGGGAGGGATGGGCTATTGAAATCACCCTCCCCCCTTTTGTGGTGAGCAAAATATTAAAACAGATTGTGAAGAATCTTTCAGATTTCCAAAGACTAAAATGTATTCGACATCACTCAAAAAAAAAAAAATAATTTAAAAAAAGCCATAAATATGCCATTCTATATACCTACTGTTCCCCCTCCCTGCTTTTCAATTTTTCATGGTCGGGCAAGTCATCCCATCCACCTTTCCCTATCCCCTTCCCCAAATTTACACAAATTTTTGCCACTGCTGACAAATGCACGTTGTTTTTCCACTTGAATTCCATTGAAGAATGGAAGAGGAAATCTTAAACAAACCCCGCGCCACTGACCTCCATGTTGAAAATACGGACGGCTACCACAATCTGTACAAAATGAGTGAAAATAGGCCGCGGTTCCCGATCCCCCCCGCCGGATGGTACAAAGGGAACCACGCTCGCCAGTCCAAAAGGCTTTACAAATCCAAAAGTTTGTGGAGTGGTAATATGGAAACTTGTGACATCACTCCTGACACCCTGTGGCCTACCTGGATTGTTTTGAATTGAGATCACACTTGCCGAGTGCTGAACAATTTTCACTTCACGAAACATGTTGCCAGTCAAGATGAAATGCAATAATTTGTCTCACTGGGGATCGATTTTTCAATACACCTTATTCTAAATTTATACACTAATTTGTGTGTACTACATGTACATGTAAGCAGCTACTTCTGCCTAGTGAGTGTATCCAAATCGGCCCAGGTGAGTGAAGTTAATTACATGGTACAGAAAGATCTTCTGAGGTTCAAAGTCGGGCCAAAGTTGGTTCTGTTGGTCTGACCATGTCACATCTGGTATCCTTCGCTGCCCAAGCATCGCATTCCTTGGGATATTAAGTGTTGGGGCCAGCTATGTGGAACAAGGTCAATTTTGTGATGCAATGAATGTCAGGCAAGCAGAGGTGCACCCAGGATTTGTCGTTGGGGGAAGGGCTCAGACTGGAACTACCCCACTCCTCCAAAAATAGCTATCATGCTCAAGCCCCCCCCCCCACACACACACGGGGATGTATGGCCATATCAGACCTTGTAGTTGAAGATGCCGGTGACTGTATCTTCATTCTATAAATGGTAACCATCCCGATATTGACAACCTTGCAAGGAGGGATGATGGGAACTCAAGCCCCCCCCAGCCACTCCCCTCTCCCCTTGGGTACACCACTACAAACAGTTGAAGGTTAAACCAAGAATATCCCCAGAGAAAAGTGTAACAAAACAAACCAAACTCTCTCAGTCTAGCATCTGCATTTTGTCAACAAGTGCTGAACTAATATCAGAAGATATTAACCTATACATGCTTCTGAAGGCTTTAAAGGGTTGTAAGATAGATTTTCAGCTACACCTAGGATTAAAATAAAAATAAGATGAAAAAATGTGCTTTAAACAAAGCAAAAATGCAGTAGGTTTCTTTTATATTACAGTGTGAAAATTTACTTTTAATGTCAAATTGGAGCTCTATTCCATATGTGTTTTTGAAATCGTTTGACTGCTCCTTTTTTTGTTTATTTTAGTTTTTCTTTTCAAAATCTGAATCAAAGAGGCACCCACAAACAATCAGAGATGCATGAGATTGCAATATATCACATATCTAGTTTGATTTTAATATCACACCTTAGGTATTAAATATAAAACGCTTACCAGTAAATATGGCTGATCGCTAGACTCCTCCTCCAGAATGAATTTAAATGTTGTGTTCATCTGGGACATGCAGGCTAGATGCTTAGCAAGGTAGGATTCCGTATTATAGGAGCTGAATCAGAAACAAATGAAAGCTTTTAATGTTCACTGAAGCACATTAGCATGAGGGTTGGTGCACTGCAAGTTTGTTGTTGGTAGTTCGTTTTGCCATTGCCTCTTCCAGGCCAGTAATGTTTTCCAGTTTTTTTAATGTGCTGAAAGTACTTTAATTCCAGTAACACATGTTTTGCACAAAGGAAGCGTAATTCTGGAAATCTTTTGCTGACAAGAACTTTGGCAATGTGCCAGCTTTGAACACAGAAATACATAAAACACATTTGTACACAGCTTTAAGGGGAGGGATAAAGTTTACAAGGGCCGAATTCCCTCGTCTGTGGTTGAATATACGGTAACAATGTTATTGGCTGGCATTATTGATATTGACTGGCTGAGGCTCTTGGCTTTTTGCTGGTTTCAGACCCACCCAACATATGCTTAATAGCAAAAACACAAAGTTATCCAGAGCTTATGTCAAGTATGAGTTGAGCTAGATCACGGCATGTATGAACCATAAAAATGTAAACTACACCTGTGGTCAATGAATCATCCTGAAATTGGGTGCTTTCAAAAGAATCAACTCTCCAGTCTCTCGCATTGAATTGCTGTTGGGAGAAGTTTAATTGACCACACACAATGCATTTCACACATCAGCCGTTATAATGGTATTTCCTGATATTGGTCAGCTTATGTTACCTTGGGTAACACCAAAAAAACGTGAAAGGTGCCACACTTTCAGCAACTGTCTATTTACATGTACGGTCCATTTGGCAAAGGACTGCTTACCTAAATATATTACTACGAGTGAGTGTTGCATCTCCCTCAAGTGGTTGCATGCATATACTATGCTTGAGTAGCTTTAGGGTATGGACAGAATGCCACTCCTTCCCTTTGCATACACTCTCACCTGAAAGGGGGAAAAATGTGATGACGTTCAGATGCAAGAAATAACTAACAACAACTGAATGACCGCCTCCTCCAAAACTGTTCAGAATCAGTAGCTTTGTGTTCCACTTTAACTGTTTAGACTCTCTGGCAAGAATCTGGACACTGGGTTCGTGTGAAAGTGGATCAAAAACAAAAAGGACTGAACCAAAAAAGAAATAAACAAAAAATCTCGCTTTTTCTTTTCAGGGGAAACAAGGCCAGTCTTGAGAGATCTGTCAACCAACTTATGGCCCAGAGAAGGTGAGGAGAAGACGGAAAATGACATTTCAATTTTAATGGAAAAAAGGTGAAGTATCTCAGAAGATATTTTTTATACAAGAGTGCCTAGGGCAACGAAATGCTCCAAGTGCATGTACATGTAGATTGGAAACAGTTGGTTACAGAAGCAGGAGAGTGGGAAAAGCACCACACTGTCATCTCAACTCACTATTGATGGCTTCAGTCTGACTAAATGGCATCTGAAAAAAATAAATATTACTCTCCTTCAACTGAATTGAACTCCTGGGAAATCCATTTATACTCGGAGGCTACTTTTTTTGTTTCTTTTCTTTCCTTCTGCTGACATGGCCGGAGATCAAACCTGCCACAATCCTCACCATCAATTTCAAAGAGAAACCAGCACAGAGCCAAACAGTAAGGCAATATCACCTTCAGCAGCAAGCACACCAATTATTGCTTGGTGACAGGGCAGCACACTGCTTCAGATAGATGGCTACTGTTACGTATGTGCAATGATTTGGTATTCTGCAGTTACAGATATCCCTGGATTCAAAGTGGGAAAAGTACATCATGAATGCTAGCTACATGAACATGTATGAGCTGGCAAACGGTCAATTTATCATACACACATGGGCCTCTATGTAAATGAACTGTTTGAGCAAGCTCCGAGCAACAAGCCTAGAGTGTTGACAGCGACGTGCATGACATAGACACACTTGAAAAGAGAAGAGTTTGGTGAAACAATTTGAGATTTTGCTGGTAGAGTGTTAAACAGCAATGCTACATGTAGGGCCTATGTGCACATGTGTTAATCTTTTACTCTGATAGAGTTGCTGAGTCATCATACCTCTACAAGAAAAGGCTATATGACCTTCTCATCAATACTTTGACCAATATAGGCACACAAAGAGCACCACCTGAAGGTGTACAGGTACGCAAAACACTTGACAGACAAGGCTGGGTCAGTTCAAGCAATAAAGTATTCAAATATTTGACAATTTATTCGATCGAATATTCAGCTGCATCAAAATCCCACAGAAGCAGACGTAATGTAAACTTAGAATGCAATTTTGGTACTGAATGATTGCAATTGTTTTTTCTTTTCATTTCAATGGTTTTCACCTCTGAATATTCAGCTGCAAAAATAAACATGTTAACAATCAATAACTGACTGAATATCTGAATAATCGGGACAGGCCCATCATGGCGGGGGGGGGCATTTCTATCAGAGAGTCCACACCAGAAATCTGGACAACATGTGACGGACACACTGAGCTGGCCCACATGTAAAATGCACCTGTCAAGTCAGGGTAGCATTAGCTTGAATAACCTTGGTGCTGTTCGTGTGATTATGTTCTGGCGGCATGCTTCGGGAATTCACATCACGTCAGCCAACACCATAGCAAGCGTGTGAAATATTTGCTGGGCCACGGCTGAAAGTCCGTAGTTAATGGTTGGCATATAGATGTATTTGCAGGTTTAGCGAAGATTTCTGGCTGACATGCTGAACTGAATGAGAAATTCATCTGTGGAGTGCTATAATTTTATTAGTAGTAGTACCGGTATTTATTCATGCACATAAAAAGAATCCTATGAATTACAAACCATTCTCGGCATCAGGGTTACAACAGGTTGGGATAAACCAAAACCATGAGATAACCAATGTGCCATCTTTTAAAATGTATGCGTTCAGGCTTTTAAAAAATCTATACTCCTGGCAAAGGAAAAGGTGTAACAATAACAATAATAATGATATACATGTACATGTAGATTTATAACTAGGGAATCCGATCAAAGTGCATACACGCAAGCAACAACCATGCTCCAGTCTAAGTGAAATAGAACCAGTGATGTAAATGTGATTTCAGCTTTCTCTTGAAGATGTCAAGCGACATTATCTGGCGAAGTACAGCTGGGAGTTCATTCCGGGTACAGCAGGTGATGCTTTGGCAAATGGTACGCTGACCATGGCCGACAGCTCAGGGTCTCAGGTCGGCAGGCAAGTATGAGCCCCAAGATCTAAGAACCTGACCCGTTGGCTAGGAGGGTATATACTGTAGATACTGAGGAGCATGACCATACGGGATCTTAAATACTGGTATCAGGAGACAGATCTTGAAGCTGATGTCAAGGAACAAATGTGATGAAGAAGGGAGGTGTAGGAGAATGACTTATGAGCTTTAAAAAAGCACAAAGTATTCAGGCTGGTAATGAATTATGGAATGACACAAGATCTCACTGGTATGTATATGCTTCACTGTTAATCTATTTCCCAGACGTACAAACGAGCATGTTATATTGACACATTGCTATTCCTCCACGATTGATGTGACTGCAGACACTGAACAAGTGGTTCACTATAAACTGTACATGCACTGGTAGGATCAGTGCTTCTTCCCAGGTGCAAAACCCTGGTGAATATGCTAATAATGGCAGAATGTAGCCTGTGGGGTATTATGCATCATTCATGGTAAAATTGATTGATTGTGGAGACCTACATGTACAAAATGCATTCAGTTTAGTGAATGCAGCAATCAACTAGATGCTTGGATGATCTTCCTGTCAACCCCTGCTTGGAATATTAGAAATGTTACTGTTTCAGCGTGAGCGCTCCTTCATAAATTTGAATAAAATGGCTGTGTCTGTTTGCTAGTACAAGTAGTGATGCAAGGCTGGCAAATGCAATAATTGCATACAAAGCTTTCATTTTTTTTTTCATGTTTCAAGAGGGACTTTCGGTCTGGTTCCTTGCCTGGTGCTTTGTGTCCACGGGCAAGACAGTTAACTTCAATTGTTTTACACTTTCTGGGAGCATGTAGGCATTGCCTTGGGGAGTAGGGTACATGTACATCTCATGGCCAACCTGTATTGGTGTTGGAGTTTCACTTTGTCTAAAGGCGCCAATGTTCACAGCTTACACTGAAGTATCAAACGCTTCATGCTGCATGTGCGGACAACAACAGATGGGCAAAGTCCCCAAGAGTGAGACACGACGTGACTACCTTTCAAATCCGTGTTAATTAACACAGTAATCTTCATTAGCACAGCGAATGGCTAAGAAGAATCAATTGATTACAAAATGCTACGCAAACAGAGCAGCTACCGGCCCCCCTGGAGTGTTACCCTGCGTCACTAATTGGATTGATTAGGCCCGAGCAAATTGACCTCCGAAACAGATAGGTGCTCCAAGATCAATAGCAATCAAGCTGGCCGGGGACACGGGCACACCATGGGACGGGGAATAGCTGCAACAGTGTTGACTGCCCACTTCCTGGCTGCAACCAAATCCATCTTCCAACATCCTACAGCTACTGTGGTGAACGCAAGGGCACTATGAAGAAATCAATGCAATTTCACAGAAGGTGGGCGTGTTCTGAGAAACTCTCCACACTCCCCAACATTTGAGTTTGAATGACACTTTAACTACATATTGGTGAATGTTCCGACTGTCTGGAAGGCAGGAAGTTTTCCTGTTTGGTTCTTTTTACAAAAAATCTGGGTCGGTATATTTAACTCCAATAAAAATAGTATGAAGAAGTATAACAGCTGTAGAAAAGCGGTAACAATACCAGCACTTGACATCTTGAACAAATTTACCTACACACACCACCACGTCTGGAAGGAAGGGAGACCCACACTGTTTTGGGTGCCCAAACATTGGAAATATCCCAACTTTTCATGGCCTTTTTGCGGAATGAGACTACATGTACATCACCGGCTTTGGGCAAGCTTTTGGGAGGAAAGTAGGAAAGTGAAAAAAAAAAAACCTAAAATGTCACCTTTTTCTCACTGGCTTTTCAAACGTAAACACACTCGTTCTTTAGTTTTTTGAGGGGACAGTGGATCCGCCATTGAATCCATACAGCATTTTAGCAGGCAGAGACATTGACAGTGACGAATGGGGTTGAGCAGACCCCTCGCAAAATGGAAGGTAGATGTGCTACCAGGTAGTAACTGATGAGAACAGTAACCATGGCAACGTACGCGTGCACCAGCCAGACAGAGGATCAGTACACAATCATTTCTTTGATCAGTATGTACCGGTAAGCGAGCGTTCGTTGCAATTGTTTTCACTAGTCGCTACCCGCCATGTTGCAAAACTCCTGGATGTCCGCGCGGCCCCATCGTCCAGTACACGCTGGTGCTGGAGTGCATACTCGCATGGCCCTAAATGCAAAGCTCATCACTCTCCTGTTACATTTACTGTGGCTATTTACAGTGCAGTTGCTTCAAGGAGGGCGACTTAACGAGTCAGCTGATAATTTAGCCTGGTGCAGAGACAAAGTGCATCTCCGTTCCTGTCCTTGCTATTAGGCAGGCTTACTGTATGATAAGTGCACGTACACCCTGTCTCCTGACTCGGCAGCAGAAGCAGAACAGAGCAAGGGTTCCATCTCGCTAAAGTTGGCAAAGTGGCAGACACAGAGAAGTTGAAAACTCTGTTGTCTGACCTACTCATTTGGCAGTCTCCTACAAATGCTTGCTTGAATATTCGATAACCCTACATGTACATTCAAATATTGATTTTCAAACCGACATGTCCATAAAAAGAATATTAATTTGATGCTTGGTTACAACATTGTATTCTCAAGGCATCTTTCAAGGTGTTAGGAGAAAACTCAAAGGCAGCTGATGCAAATGCCAAATAATAAGGCCCAAAAAATTACTCTTCTTTTCACTTTTTCTGTGTTTTTTTTCTTTTATTTTATGTGTTGCGTGATCATGCTGGGACCTACATGTCGGAAAAATATCACCAATTACCGATACATGTATGAATAAACATAAGACTGCCAGCCTCCTCCTTCTAGGGGATGGACCCCTGTTCGGAAACTCAATGAGGTCAGACCTCCCACCAGTGTTGTAGTCAAGACAAGCACAAGACCAACAGAAGATCTCTAGTCTGAATTCAAGAGACATACTATTCAAATGAACTGCAACAAAAGCATTCCTTTGTCATTGATCACACTGTTACTTGTGACTGGTCTTGCACGTGGTCTTGTGTCCGGTCTTGTGTCTGGTCTTGTGACGGTCTTGACTACAACACTGCCTCCCACAAAAATGGGCACATTATGTTTCCGCCTTCGTAGGAAGTTGGAATAACAAATATCTTCAAATGGATGGTAATCAACTGTTCCAATACCACACTTGGTTATTCGAATGAACTCAGCGCTACTCGCACTCAATGTGTTTGTGAGTGGTGGGTCTGAAAATGTGAGACTGCTTGTCTCTGTGGTCAATGGTGGCAGACACCTGTCAGTATCCACCCAGGCTTGAAGAGCTCCCTCACTGGCAAAGAAGAGACAGGTTGGCGGGAATTGTTTAAACTGGATAACTGGCACACGCGCAGAAACCATTCCAACATATTCCAAGTTGGAATACGTTATCGGTTGTATGTGATCAACACGTCCAAAGGTAAAATATGCACATAAACATGCATGCGCACTCCTGGTGATGAGCTCCCGCCAAAGGACCGTTGGTGCTATGTCAAAGCATGCCATCTCTTATTGGCATAAGTAGCAGACAGACACCAACGACCTGATTTCTTTCTCACTTTCAACCACTGCACAGGGGGAAGTTCAGACGGAAAGTGGCAGCAGCAGAACGAGGGGGAAAAGAACGCTAGTTTCATTCAACGGCGTTGACTTACAACACTCACCAAATACGTGTACTTTCCGAAGGAAAATGAGAAATGAACCCAACATACCTGTGACGGCCTCCCCAAGGGATGAACGGCACCGTCTGCACTGCAACTGCAGGGTCTGATCCTGGGAAAAATTTGGACAACAAAAACAACCAGGTCATCAACTTATCTGTGAAAGCATCACTGAGTGCAGACTGTCAACAAGTGAGGGCGCTAGTCAAGTTTAGTGTGCACATTATCATGCCAAAACTGATTAGACTATGAAGTCTGCCAAGAAGACGGCCAGATATATATCTATAGGTAAAGGTCAAAGATGCAACGGAATCAATTTGAAGTAGAGCGCTTCGCCGAGAGCTGACCTCAAAGAGGTCATTCTGCAACTTCCTGCGATGAATAACCATCTCTTAATCCCTTTACTGCAGTGCTATGGAAGAGCCTCTTCATGTGAGACACATGTACCCAACACTGGTCAAAACACAAGAATACTAACTCACATAAAAAAAATTTGCGTATCCAAACATCTTAAAAACTGCCAAGTCCTTGTGCAATGGGGATTTCATTCCATAGTCAGACGTCACACATTTTTCCATGTGCTACACTGCCAACCAAATTTGTAAGGAAGGGCAAAGTGTGCAGAAATATTGCCCTCCGTTGGCAATAGCTTTTGCTTCCCGTATGTAGATCTTCCCCATCAGTGTTGCATATAAAGAGGTACAGCTATGATTGAACAATTACATACACTGAAACAGTAAAATAACAATTTGTAAGACTTAACCGATTCTTGGCAACTATTCTTCTTCTGTAGCTAATTAAATCCACTTTATTTACATAAAACAAAGCACTAAAGATGTTTGAGTAATCAGTGATAGGGACTAAATGGTTTCTAGGAATATATAAAATCTTAAACTGTCATTAAACACTAGCGCGTCAAATGTGTATGTAAACTGTCAACCACAATTTTATGCTCATTTACTGTTTAGCCTTATTTCATGTGTTGGGATTTAATAACTGCACAACGTTTTTAAAATTTTGTGCATTTTTCTTTATTTTGAATGACAGCTACGCAGAAAAAGAAAGGTCTCAACTTTGTACCTTGTCTTGCGATATGCTGAAGACATGTTTTTTCCCCTTTCTCGGAGCCAGCAGTAAAGCGTCCTTGCAAAGCATGCTGGGATGCATCAGGAAGTAAAGATTCCCCACCAGGCAATCCTTCTCCGACGGCGCCAGCGACTGGCCGGCAAACGTCCGGGTCACATCGTTGCCGTGGCAACACCAGCTCTCCGCCATCTCTCTCCAGTTCTCGGATGGGAGAGGAAGAACCCTGTCGAAAACACTGCAGTTTCAAAAAAAGAAAACAATTACACCCCCTGGACTATTTGTCACAACTCTTAACATGCTTAAGGGTTCACTGCAGATCTGTCCAAGGAATTGTTCCTTTGAAATTTTCATGTTAGAATGACGGGAAAAGTCACAATGCAGAAATTTACCATCTACACGCAGTTTATGTCAGACATTTTGCTTTTTTATTTTCTCGAAAATGGTTTGAGCGAAATCTGTGTTAAACCTCTGTCCAGGATATTATCAGCTTCTCCTTGACCTTGGAAGGGTTTTAAGTATAGGTCAGCAACAGAATGTGACCAGGCAGTTGAAAAGCAGAGGCACGTCCAGAGGAGGGCGCACTCAGCACACCACAAGCCCCTCCCATGGGGGGATACCTTGGGCTTTTTTCCTGTTTCTTTTTCTGCTCTCGATTGGTTAGATCAGAACTTTAAAGATGGAAATTCCTCCCAGATGAGGAAAGAGAAAATGCCAAGCTCGAGTGTGCAGGTCTCATGTACATTCTGTGCGCCCTCCGCCTATTAGTATTTTCCTGCAAATGTTAGAGTGCTCCCGTGTTGGTAAATGCTGGATCCAACACGGGAAATTCTTGTTTTAATACAGAGACTAAGATTAGTAAAATAGCAATAATGACATATCCCCTTTTGCATGTGCTGTATCGGTTCCTCTTGCCCACAGAATATTACATGTACAAAGCAGGCCTTCTCCAGTGTTCTATCCATTATCATTGGCCTCGAGGGGGACCAAGAGAGGGCGCAACTTTCCTAGTAACGACGGCTCCTTTGGTGGGAACTGCACTTCGCTGGTTCATGACCATCTGTGAAATGCATGCATTACGTTCACGCCACTACCGATCATATAAATACTTTCGACCGACGAGGAGATGCTTCTGCTCAAGCTACCGGTAGATGATAATTCTCACAGATTGTTTGTGATGAAGTGATTAAGATTTCCAAACCTACTTACCAGGGATCGGTCACCACTTTCCCTCGGCACGTCCCGCAGCTGATGACGAAAGCGGAGCTCCTCAGGAACCCCAGCTCCTCCTTCTCCCAGGCCTCGTCCATCTCTCGCCGGTCCCCAGCTTCCCTGGACCCTGCCAACTGCAGCCTCATGTGGAGGCCTTCATCCTGCACCTGTGACAGGGTCAAAGTGAGGCAACTGGTGAAACTGGACAGAAACAGGTGCAGTCCAGCAGAAGAATGGTCAAACTGGACAGAAAAACGCGCATATCCAGCAGAAGAATGGTGAAACTGGAAGG